GTGTGTGTGTGTGTGTGTGTGTGTGTGTGTGTGTAAACAGTCACATGGTGTGACAGGTTTGAGTTTACACCTATTTCCTGCCTGTGTTACCTGAGAGACCTTTGACCTTCAGCAGCGCCACCTTCAGGTTAAAGCCTTCAAACTGAGCGTCCGACGTGTGAGTGCTGCATGATTTATTCTACACGTGTGGAAGGAGGGCTTCTTCCTGTCCCTGCCTTTCACAATAAAAGCCCTGGACATGCACACTATGTGACTGAGATTTCATTTGTGAGGTCAAACAGCTGATTTCTGTTTATGAACGTCTCATGCCCCACTGACTCACATCCAGGTGTCCAGATCCACAGACTGATCCTAACAAGCTGCTGCAGAGGTCAAAGGTCGCCTGTGTCCTTCTAACGCCCCTGTTCTTCCCTTGTGTGATGCCATACATGTAACATGAATGTCTACGATGCTGCTGCTGACCCTGACGATGATGATGATGATGATGAATATATTTCTGTAGATTCTTTTTATTGTTAGTTTTATTTTAGTGACATTGACCACATGCAAATCTGTGTTTGTACAGAGTGTGTGTGTGTGTGTGTGTGGGGGGGGGGGGTTAATGATCAGCACTGATCAATGAGAGTGTCAGTAGAGACGACAGTAGAGACGACAGTAGAGCTCCTGAAGCACAGACCACCTCAACACAGCAGAAATACCTCAGACTTTTCTACGAGCTGGATTTTTATATTTTGATGTTTGTGATCTTTTATTGTTTACTTTGTGTTTTTGTTGTTTCCATTAAACCCGCGGAGCTGCCCGGCCGTCCGACTCACAGCTCGCTGCCGTTTCACACCTGGACTTCCTCTCATCCTTCCTCCTCTCTCTTCAGGTTTCCTTCTTTCCTTCCCTCTACTACCTCCTTTCTGTTTCCTTCCTGACTCCTCGTCCACTCGCTGTTCTCTCCTTGCTGTAACAGGTCACATGGTTTAACGCCTCCTCGGGATCTGTTATTGTGATCGATTCAGTGACTCTAAAGTAGTACTGTAGTACTTCAGGCAGCGCTCCACCTGCAGTCTGACCTCCATCAGGGCTAACCCCGCCTCAGTCACTGATTGCAGGTGTTTCCAGGTGTTTCAGGAACTGGTTACCTCATTAAAGTCTCACAGGTGGAAACGCTGTGCTGCGCCCGCTTGTTTGTGCTCAGCATGGTTAGCGACTCAGCTGCTGCACGGTGCTTTCATTCTTTTATTTTTCCGTCCTGAGAATTCATCTCTGTAAATAATTTAGGACGCTCGTTCGACCCGTGTGCTGCAGTCACAGTCGGGCCGGGTAGTTTGGATCTCCAGCTGTTCCCCAGCAGCTGCCGCCTCCATGAGAACCGATGCAAGTTCCTGTGAGGCAGGACGGCGCATCAACGCTTCCAAAAATGCCCCAAAACCCTGAACTTCCTGTCGTCTGCTGACATCACCGGCTGTTCAGGGCCTCGGCCAGCTGATCTGACTCCACAGTACATGACTGCACACGGAAACACCTGGCCAGGTTATTTCATCAGAGTTAGCTTGTGCTGCTAGCACTGACCTGGCTAACACCTCCCTCAGAGCTGTGAGGGAGGTTCTGGTCTCCGAGTCCTTGGAGCTCGATGCTAAAGAGAGCGAGTCATGTGACTCCTTCCTCCAGCTTGTCCTGAGCAGGTGTGTGAAGATGGCCGCCTCCTTTTTGGTATTTTGGCCTGTGCCAAAGAAACGGCCGAGGTCAGAGACACGAGTTCCCTCACAGTCCTCTGTCTCTGCCATCGAAGTTTTTAAATAGTGACGAGCAGAAAGGAGTTCTGGGTGTTTATCCTCAGGACAGCCCTGTGAGTGTAGGACTGAACGCTCGCTGTGCTGACTGTGACGGTGAGCAGAGCTGTGATCCCAGCGAATCTTCGTTTAAACATGACGAAGGCGGGAAAAGAGCAGAGCTGCTAACGAATCGATCAGACACGCCGTGAACGAGCGAGGTACTGTCACTGGTCTTGGGACCCGCCCCTCTGTCGACTTTGCTGCCAATCGACGGGCGCATTACTTAAACATCTGATTTTTTTTCTGGGGGGGGAGGGGGTGATCGTCATGGCAACAGTGACCTGTACTCAGGGTAAGCTAGCCCTACTTTACATGGCAGTTAGGATTAGGAAAGCTAGCTGTGCGTTATCAGGCTGCTGACCTGCACAGCAAACCACCTCGCCATGTCAGCTGTGATCTGATTGGCTAACAGCTCTGCTGCCACTTTACGCTGAAGTAAAACAGCCGACCCAGAATGCACGGTTCCAAATGTTACAACATCTGGAGCTGCAGCTGGAGTCCTACACTCACTGAAAGTCATGAGCACTGTTCACTTCCTGTGGCATGGGCCGACAGAGGCGGCCAGCTCCACCTACGCCATCTGCTCCACCTGTGGGAGGAGTGAGCTGTGAGTCTCTAAAAAGGAAGAGAAGCGACTGATCTTCATCGGCGTGACTGTAGGAGGAGCAGTTTAACATGTATAAATACACGTGTACATACATATATGAACAGGAAGGAGGAAGTGACATCTAACAAAATAAAAGCCTCTTCCTGGTTCCGGTCCTTCCTTCAGTAGAGGCGACTGATGGAGGTTCCTGGTTTTACTGTGGTGCTTTATAAAGAGAACCTCCACCTGCTCCGTCTGCCTGGAGGCTGACAGGAAATGACCTGTGTGTGTGTGTGTGTGTGTGTGTGTGTGTGTCGTCACTGTATGAATGTATCTGAGCCGGTGACTCTGAGGCTCGCACTCCAATAAACTGTAGAAAATGAAACTTTTTGTAAATGAAACAATAAAAATGTGACAGTATTTTAAACAGACTGCTGGATTTCTTTACCATAAGGTGGAGCAGGAAGAAGAGCACGGGTGGTGTTTGGTCAGGGGTGTCAAACATAAGGTCCGGGGGCCAGAACTGGCCCTGTGGACACTCGAACGGTTGGAAGAAGTAAAGGAGGGTGGAGATTATCATACGTATGTAGTCTACGCTACACCTGTTAGAGAAACAGTGAAAGGTCATTTAGTATAGATGGAAAGTTTTTTGCAGTAAAAACAAGTAAAACAAAATGTTTTTTTTTGTTTTATTCAGTTCAATTCAGCTTTATTTATATGCCAAATCACAACAACAGTCGCCTCAAGGTGCTTTATATTGTACAGTAGATCATACAATAATACATACAGAGAAAAACCCAACCAATCATATGACCCCCTATGAGCAGCACTTTGGCAACAGTGGGAAGGAAAAACTCCCTTTTAACAGGAAGAAACCTCTGGCAGAACCAGGCTCAGGGAGGGGCGGGGCCATCTGCTGTGATTGGTGAGAGAAGGAAGACAGGATAAAGACATGCTGTGGAAGAGAGCATATTTGTGTAGTATGTGTAATGTATGACACATATTACACCTGTAACACCTACAGCATGTTCTAATCGCTCTAATAGGATATTATGATCGACAGTATCAAACGCTGCACTGAGGTCTAGCAGGACAAGCACAGAGATGAGTCCACTGTCAGAGGCCATAAGAAGATCATTTGTAACTTTCACTAAAGCTGTTTCTGTGCTGTGCTGAGCTCTGAAACCTGACTGAAACTCTTCAAATAAGCCAAAGGAGCTTGGAAAGAAAAGCGTCCGGACTTCTTTAAGTTGCTTGAAGACGTTTCACCTCTCATCCGAGAAGCTTCTTCAGTTCTAAGGTCAAATGGTGGAGTCCCAGATATAAACCTAGTGGGAGTTTCCCCCCACAGAGGGACAAAAGGACCCC